CTTCAACTGCTTGTAGTTTTAACTGTCTTGGGTGTTCATATATATAGTTTTTACCAGCTTGTAGCCAAGATTCTGATGTTTCTGTAGACTGTACTGTTCTGTAGACTAAACATGATTAACTAAAAGAACTAAACTGGGGGTTTGGACTTAAGAGATAAATGAACCAATTGGCGAGCTGCATTTTGGTCACTCGCGGGCCACCAGTTGAATAGCCCTGCCCTAAATTGTGCTTTTTTCTTATTCAGTCACTTTAACCTTTTGTTGTATTCATATTTTCTTCTTTGCTTTGTATTCTATTGTGGACACCGCTGTGAGACAACACCACAATTTTGTTGCACTATTGTACGAAGTGTGTGCAATGACAATAAAGCTTATCTTATCTTATTACGGCTGGGGAGGGTTTACATTAGAGAAGGTGTGTGTTCTAGTCCTGAGCAAAGCTGTTTCATCTTGATTTACTGTAGCTTGTCGTTCAAACTGACATTTTTGTATTTATTGAGTTATTATAAAACTGCTGGATAAAATGATTTGAAAAAGATCCTGAAAGAATTTACAACATTTTCAATCATTTTATTTTTTGAGATAAAGACACTTCTGCTGACAGTATTCAGAATTATTAAATTTTTATAGATGGAGATCTTGCACTTGAAATTTCTCAACTGTAAMGAGGTCAAAATAGCATTCACTACTTAAAATGATCTGAAGCAGAGCAATCATACCCAAATTTGTTTTAATTTAGTTAAACCTCTCAAGAAGTATTTACTTTAAACTTACTTTCTTTATGATAAAAGGAAATATTCTTTTCACTCATTTTCGCAAAACAAAGTTCTCTGTAGGCTTTTCATCTCCAAAAGGGAAACCCATATTTCAGTGGTTTATTTAGACCAGGGGTTCTCAAGCCATTTGGGTCTGGGGACCCCTTACAAAGGCGAAAAACTCCACGGACCCCCTCATAAACCCCATGCTGTTTTAAAAGATATTTTTTTGTCATTTCAACTCCTAAATACCATGGGAATATATATTATAATTAAATTTATTATGTTTGTTTTATCAGTTCATTGCTCTCCATGCATTTTTAAAAATTAAAACCAAATGAACAATTTAGTGAAATTTTTTGAGGACCCCCAAGATACCTCTCTCGCGGACCCCAGTTTGAGAACCTCTGATTTAGACAGAACAAGTTGTGCTGTTATCACAATTTTATTTTATTTTATTTTTTAGCTTCTCGGGCTGCATTTCACATTTCCTGTCAGAAAAAAAAAATGTATGAACAAAACTTGCCGAGTCACTACTTGTCCTGTCTTTACAATATTATCAGTTGCTTCACACTCACCACCTCCTGAGCTGCAGCTTATGGAGCCAGAGATATCAGCTAAAAACCGTTACGAGACTTTAAGAATCTGCGGAATACTTATTTTTGTGCTCGACGCCTATAGGTGCAACTTCTGACCAGCTTTATTTCATACTGTGAAGCAGTATACTGTATAAAGAAAAAATGTTCAAAGAACTGCAGGTTTTAGCAAATTGGAAATTTTAATTTTAAAGGGTTACGTCAGCCAATCTTGATCAAAACACTAATTTTTATATTAAAAAAGGTCATCCCCAGGAAAACCTGACACTAGATGTGTATGTGAGTCATAATGGTTATATGGTAAATAACCAACATGACACAGCTGATGGAGTCCCCCTCACACACACACACACACACACACACACACACACACACACACACACACACACACACAC